TTTTTTTTTTTTTTTTTTAAATAAAAATAAAGAACGATATAGTCATTCTATCTCTTTCTTTAACCGTTTTGGAAAGAGCTCATCTGCCGGATGGTTTCATTCATAATTTCAACGAATTAAAAGTGAAAGCAAAAAATCGATGCTCTGCTACCCCCGAATCAGCCAGGACTCTCTTGGCCTTCCTTCCTTCCTTTCTTTCTTTTTATTTATTTCTAAAAAAAAAAAATTACACACTTCTTGTTTGTATCAGACCTAACCTCAAAAGTTTCCAGTGTCTCTTAAAAAAGACACTGACCTAAGTTAAATTCTACGCATGTTTCTATATCAACCAAACTTATTTTTATTATTAGGGTGAAACAAAAGTCCTTACATTTGTTTTTATTAATAATAATATTCATAAAGTAAATTTAACACGTTGTGCATCATGTCAGCCATTAATGGCTGACACTAGAGTTTCCGTTTAGGCCACGTCAGCCATCGGTGACTGACACTTTGAACTATTTTTCAATACCAAGTAACGTCTGTGGCCTGACGGGGATTTACATAAAAATGAGCATGGCGCACAACGTGTTAAACAATCAAAACAATGCATTGTCCAGTTTGTAACAGAATCTTTTGATTCACCCTAATACAATTGCATTAATCTGAGAATATTTTCAATAAAGAAAACCCAACAAATCCCTCACACACCCCATGTAATTCAATTTGGAATGGACTAAGTTTTGTTTCTTATCTTTTACAGGATTATCTACGAGCTTGTTTAGAACAAATAGAAGAGATGGTTGCAAAAGCACAAAAAGAGGGTGGTAGCACAACAAACGATGACAAAAATGTTACTCGTACTGAAGAAACTGTTAAAACAATTGAACAGGAAGTTGTTAACAATGTTTCTATCGAACAAGAAGAAGAAGAAGAAGAAGAAGAAATGGAAGAAGAAGAACAACAGCAACAACAACTACAACTACAAGAACAATTGCAACAACAGCAAGAACAATTACAACAGCAACAACAATTGCAACAACAGCAACAACAACAACAGCAGCAGCAACAACAAAGGCAATTGGAGGAACAGGAAGAAACAGCGGAGGAAAAATTGAAAGAACATGAGAAGGCAGGTACACCAACCGACGTCAGAGATGTTCATTTCTGAACCCAAGAAAACGAAGCTATGAAAACGATGACAACGCATCAACACCATTTGCAGCAACTATAATAATAATAATAATAACAACACAACAATACAATTATAACAATAATTGTCATCAATGAAAATATGAATCAACGACGACGTTGTGTTATGATTGGATGAAGAACAAAAAAGAAAAATACTAGAAAAATTGTTCCAAGTTTTAAGAAAGAACAAAAGAAAAAGATCTTTAAAGAAGAAAATGATGGAAAAATTGATATAAGAAAAAAAAAACAATTAACAATATTCGTCGTTGAACTTCGTCATCATCCACCATCTTTTCTTTCGTTTAAAACGTTGAGCGCCACGTCAGCCATCTAATGTCAATCACTGACACTAGACTTTCCGTTTAGGCCGCGTCAGTCATAAATGACTGACACTTCGACTATTTCTCCAATCAATGTAACGCCTGTGGCCTGACGGGAGTTTCTCTAAAAATTCGTGTGGCACTCAACAAATTAAAAGAAAAGGAGAGAAAGAGATAACTAGATAAAGTTAAATAGATAAAAAGAGACAAGAGGAAATACGCCATCACGAAACTTCGTAATTTTGTAATATTTTTTTTTTGTTTTTTTTTTTTTTTAACACTAAGGAGTGGGCGTGCTGCGGGGGGAAGGCAATGCAATACGCTTTATGCATCTATTATTATTATTATTATTATTATTATTATTATTAATATTATTATTATTATTAATATTATTCAATATTATTTGTTTTATTTTGTGTCCTCCTTTCATTTTATTTTTATTTTAATTTCTTTATCCTTTCTTTATTCCTTCTTGTTTCACTTTCCCCTTAAATTCGCGCGTTTAAGATCTAATTAAAAAAAAAAAAAAACACACACTTAAATGTTTAGTCCAATGAGTTATCAGGTTGAATGCCACGGGGGTCACCGGTGACCGGCGTACCCAGATTAATAGAAATATATTTCACATCGTGGCGCCACCGAACAATCTCAGTAAAATTGCCGTGGCATTCAACCTGTTAAAACACAAAAAAACACAGGAAAATATATATATATATTTTTTTTGTGTTTACAGCAATAAGAAAATGCAAGAAGAATATTTAAATTCTCTTTTTCTTTTTTTTTTTTCATAAGGAATTGAAAAAAAAAAAATTCACTTATTGTTAGTCATGTCGAGTCATTTTACAGTTTTTTTTTTTCCTCTTTTTTTTTGTACATAGTTGTAACACACTATATATAAAAATACATATATATATATATGTATATGTATATGTATAATTTAATTAATAAGCGAATATATAAATAAATCTGTGTGAAAAAGATAGAAATATAAAAAAAAAACAAACAAACAAACAAAAGAATAAATCGTAACGAAAATTTATTTTTATCGAATTTCAACGTCATAGATTTCTGTCTTCTATTTTTTTGTTGTTGTATTTTTTTTTTTTTTTTTAATCTCGAAATAAATTAATAAACACACGTAGTATAGCAGAGTCCATAAGAAAGTTTTAAATATGGCGGCGCGATTAATTAATTATTCGCTTGTTCCACCAACCCTGTTCCTATGAGCGGTTGTGCCAATCCCGCACATTTATATTAAAAAGAAAAAAAAACACGAACGAAATATAAGCTATACAATAGAAACAAAAAAAGATTGAATGCATACGCGTGTTGTGTGTGTGTGTGTGTGTTGAGTGTGTGTGTTTGTTTTATGTGTATGATGTTTGTGATAAAGTAAAAAAAAAAAATATTAATTTACAACGAATGTTAGTGTGTATAAAGAAAAATTATAAGTAAGAATAAGTGAAAATAAGATGGCGGTAATTTGTACACGAAATGGCGGATTCCAAGTAAAAACGCGGGAAATTCGAATGATCGATGTTTACGAAATAAAAAGTTGAAACATGTAATTGTACGAATTGCATCGATTAAAGTTTTGTTTTTATAATAATTTGAATTTCGTTTAATTTTTATTTTGATTGATTATTAAAAAGAAAAAAAGAAAAAAAAGAACAGAAAATGAAATTACAAAAAAAAAAGAAAAAAAGAAAAGAACATTTCTAACGCGTAGCACACAAACGTACAATAAATTCGCATATGGTGGTAAATTGCTTTATTATATTTGATTTTTTTTCTTTTTTTTCTTTTTTATCGTAGTCGCATTTTGTAAATATGTAATTAAATATAAATAAATAATAGATAAATACAAAGAAGAAGAAGAAGAAGGAGAAAAACAAAAAAGAAGAAAAATGAAAAAAAAAGCGACACGCGTACGCTTAGAAATATAAGAATATTAAATTAAGATCGAAATGTGGGAAAATAATTAATGAAACCGAAAAGAGAGAGAAAAAAAAAAAGAAAAAAAATGCGAAAAAATATATTCAACGTGGCCGTACACAAATTAAAAAAGAAAATATGAAAAAAAAAAAATGGAGAAAGGAATTGCGAATAGTGCCTTCGACAAATTTCGACGAAAAACGAAGATTGATAATTAATTAAATAAAAAAAAAAAAAAAAAAAARAATAAAAAAAGAAAGGAAATTAAATCAAAAAATTTGCAATCTTTACGTAGTAGTCTGTTGAATATAAATTCATAAATAAATTTAGTACTTAAATAAGTCCAAAGTATAAATAAAATTACAAAAAACAAACTGATACAAAAAAAAAAAACAAGAATATAAAATAATCAAAAAATTATATTATAATAAAAATATATAATAAAAAAAAAGTAAAAAAAAAAAATTATATATTTGATATAATAAAAGTGTCGAGTGAACAAAATAAAAAAAAATAATAAAAAAAGATAACCAAAAAAAAAACCACTTTGGCCTTGAATTAAATAAAAAAAAAAAATAAAATAAAAAAGAATTACAAACACATTGAAAGTGCCACGAAGAAAGAAATACATGAAATTAAATATAAATCTATGTATGCACGTACATTACACATATACATACATATACATACATATATATATATAATATGTATATAATATATTATCGATAACCAAATCCTAGTACAATTCTAATTAAAAAGAAATCTATTAATATAAGAGAATGTCCTTGACCAAGTTAATTAAAAAAAAAAAAAAAAACATAATATATGAAACACACGCGCACGTACACACACACAGATATGTTTATAAAAACACGAGAAGAATTTTGAAAAATTAGTGGCCTTACTTTAGAATCGTACTGTACTAATATATATATATATATATATATAAATTTCATTAACAAATTGTAATAAAAAAAATGTCTCGAATTTTTTCTAAATTGTTCAAACACACACGAGAAGTGCGATGCGTTGTATAAACAAATATTATTAATAAAAAAAAAAATAAATAAATAAAACAAATGCACAAATGCACAAATACATTTTTCAACATAAATTTGTTAAACAAATCTTTTAATATTATTTTCTTTTTCCATTATAATTATAACAATAATAATAATAATAATAATAATAATAATAATAAACTCGTAATTAATTATAGGAAAGATAATAACAACAATTACAATAATAAAAAATAAAAACAAAAAGCAATGCAAAAACAAAGAAAAAGAAAATAATACGCTTTTATATTCATGTACCTTGTTGTCGTCAATAATAATTATTATTATTATTAACATTTAAGTTGTAAAAAGAAAAAAAAGAAAAAGAAAAAAAAAAGAAAGGAACACATAAAAAAAAAATATAAGAAAAACAAACAAATAAATAAATAAAAAACGGAGGCTGATTATTAAAAATTAATTAGTAAATAATAATAATAAAAAAAAAAGAAATGTTATAAACAATAGTGTATAAATAAATCCAAGCACAGATTTAATAGAAAATATGAAAAATAGAATATTAAAATACACGTTTTCTTTTCCTATTTTTATTTGTAAATAATTCATAAGTTTGTCATAATAATCATAAGTTTGATGTATACTTCTTATTTTTTTATTTTTTATTTTTTTTTATTAAAAACCATAATCGTTTATTCATCCCCATTTTAATTTAATTTAATTTAATTTTTCTTCTTTAATCTAATTTTTGTGTTTGTTGATTGCACACGTCGGTTGCACTCAAATAAAATTTTGTCGATTAATGTTATATGTACATATAAATATATATATATATAATTATTATTATTATTATTATTGTTATTATTAGCACTAATATGAATATTATTATATAAAAAAAAAACTTTTTGTTTATGATTACAGTAAGAAATAAAAAAGATTATATCAAGAAACAAAACAGTGCAGGTGCATTTAATGTTAATGCACAAACAACCACATTTCTATTATTATTATTATTACTATTATATATTATTATATATTATTATATTATATTATTATATATTATTATTATATTATATTATTATATATTATTATTATATTATATTATTATATATTATTATTATATTATATTATTATATATTATTATATTATATTATACTCTATATTATATTATATTATACTATATTATATTATATTATAATTATATCGTGTATCGTTAAACACGTATTAAGACGAAATATGCGATTTTAAACAACTAACTGTTGATATACGAAAAGATAAAAAAACGAAAATGCGCAATAGAAATACCACTGATATACCTCAGATTTTCACACACACACTTCGCTCGAAATAATACGCACGTACATTACAACTATATATGTATATATATATAATATATGTTTATATATATACATACATAATTTCAACTGTTCGAAAAAATGTCGAACTGTTCGAATGAGATAAGAATCGTAAACTTTACACTTACAATTATACTTATTTAAAAAAAAAATATTTCTAGAACGAAAATTTACTTTTAACGAATACAAACTACAAAAAAAAATATATTCAAACAAAATAATGCAAGTTGCAACAATGAATGTAAAACGAATAAAAAGAAATATTCTTCTTCAAATACGTATGTAAATATATTTTTAGTCAGGTGCGTTTCGAGACGCAATAAAATTTCAATAAAATCGAATGGAAAATAAAGTATTCCTATTTAATACAGTAATCTTCATGGTGTTTCCTTTCTTTATTTTAAATATTATTTTTTATAAAACTCATGTATTTTAGGATTCTATTACATAATGTATTTCGAAGTTAAAATTAGAAATTTTGATTGAATTCATTGCTTTCTAACAGAAGAATCGATCAACAAAAGTTTCATCATGTAAGATCCTCTTACCAATTTCATTTTAAAATTAAAATTTTTTTAACAGGAGAACACAGTGTAACAAAAAATATTTTATTCTTCACGAGCCGTAGTTTTCTGAGCCATCTTAAATAACTCTGTTACAAGATTCTCAATTACCATTAGAAATTTATGTGACTTGTTGTTTTMTAACAGGAGAAAAAATGTCCCAAGAAATATTTTATCAACTAGTAAACTAACATTTGGTTTTAACATTTTCTCGCCAGTGCATAACACAGGTGGCCCGCCGTTGACTGTCTGATCGGGTGGCGCGTACCACCCGTGGTCAAACTTTGTCTGGGTTTAAACTATCAAAAATCATGTGCCGCCATAAGAGGCGTGTATAAGATTCGAGTCTDGCTGGCTCACATTGCATACACTGAAAATCGGCGC